CCGGAAGAACCCTTGAGACCAGGGGCTTATCTCTCACAAACTGCCAAGAAGTGTGTGGGTATTCGGGGCAAAACACTACCCAGGCGTTGGTTCCTCTTGCATCCAGAAACTGGATACGCCCTACCTAGTCAGCGCTGCCCTGACCTGCTTGGCTGCTCTTAGGTTAGCTCCAACTTAAGATGGAGGCGGGGTGGGGAGTAAATCTCACTGCTGCCAGGGTTCTAGTCCCAGTTGGCCATGCGAAGACTGAAGCTTTGAGTGTCTTGGTTTCCCCAGTTGTGAAACCACAGAAATAGTGGGCCCAGAGAGGCAGAGTCTTCCTCTTCCATTAATAGACGAACAAATAAATAAGGGGGCCACACCTACAGGACTGCCCACAGTAGTCAAGGTGCCAAGAACAGCCACCCTGCAGACACTGGTGATGTCTGGTGGATTCATAACTCAGAAATATCTTCTGATGGAAAATGTGGGAAAGAGCTGAATGCTACACCCAGAGCGTCTTTCTAAAAACTAATTTATTCCTTTTATTTTACATGTGAATATTTTGCCTGCATGTAAGTTTGCATACCTCATGTATGCCTGCTGTCCATGGAGGTCAAAAGAGGGCATCAAATGCCCTGGGACTGGAGCTGGCGATGGTTGCGAGCCACCATGTGGGTACCGGGAGTTGAACCTGGATCCTCCACAGGAGTAAGAAGTGCTCTGAACCACTAGCTGTCTATCCAGCCCTCACTCAAATTCTCTAGGAAAACAAAAGCATCAGGTCAAGGTTTGTGAGCTGGTGCGGATACAGCGGAGATGGGGAGGGGTCTCTACCTGGGAGGCCTCCCTCCCTCCCTCCCTCCCTCTCTCCCTCCCGGATCTCCAAAGCCTGTCAATCTTTGTTCCTCAGCTTCCTTCACATTGTCACAACTGTCCTAGGCTGAACGGCTCTCTCTGCTGCCAAAGCCACAATTCAGAGGCAGATGATCAGACAGCAAGGGGCCGTTTCATTGACACCTTAGGATCCCATAGGACTTTGAAGTGGCCGCTACAGTGGTCCCCTTTAGTGGAGGGAAGATGCAAGCCCTCAGGTCACCCCAGGTACCCCAACTTGACCCCCAGATAATCTCTGCTTGGGCTGTGCAGGGATCAGAGCCTCCAGGGAGGCACCAGGCCGTCATCACCCAGCAAGGCAACTATCATGACCCCTTACCTTGAACTTCCATCACTCCTCTATAGTTCCATAACTCACAAGTGTGGTGATGGCTGTGTTCAGTTTGGGGGCTTCCAGGACGTGGGGACTCCCCGGTGACATGAGGCTTGACCAAGGCAGCGAGGGGTGGAGTCAGATCTTGATGCTTTTTCTCCTAGTATATCAAGGAAGAAAGGTGGCTCCCACCTGTCATCTCAGCCGCCCCCCCAGAGGCTAAGGCAGGAGAATTCCCACCAGTGCAAGGCCAGCCTGAGCTACATGGTGAGTTCCAGACTAAAGAGTAGAGGAGGGACAGGAGGGAGGGGGGAAAGGTGTGTGTGTGTGTGTGAGAGAGAGAGAGAGAGACAGAGACAGAGACAGACAGACAGACAGACAGACAGACAGGAAAAACAGAATAACATGTGTTAGAGTCCTCTGCTAGGAGACCCAGCGAACAAGACAGCTTTCCTCGGAGTAGGAAAGGGGGTCAACTCTGCCTCTAACTCTTCCTTCTGCTCTGGGATTGATGGCTCTGATTCCCTGATTTGTGCTGTGACAACACTGAGCCACCCTGGGCTGCTGGCCCAGATGTGAGCGCACACTCCTGCTTGGATTTATGAGACCCTAGACCTACGGAGCCCCATGACAGTGACAGCAAATCCTAGAGACCTTTTGAACCCATAACCACTGCAGGGAAATTCCCCAGAGTTTTATAAGGACGTGGCCAGGCCTGGGACTCTGTTGAGCATCCTGCTGCCTCTGCTCAGCTAGCCAGCTAGCTCCTTCCAGGCCTGCAGCTCACCCCAGGCCCTTCCCTCTTTCTCTAACTGCCTTCCTCCTGCCTTCCCCTCCCGGGCTGGCTACACTTGGCATCCCAGTTGGTGTTGCTTGTCACATTCTTCCTCCAACAGGTGCGGTCCCTGCGTTTATCCTCTGACCCAGAACTAACGTCCTGCCATCTGCCTCCTGGCTCCCACTGGCCCTTTCTGTATTCTCTGCTTCCCGTGCTGCCAGAACCTTCCCCAGTACCTAAGTCATCCTATTCCTGTTCCTCATTGCTCTGATTGTCCCCATGCTGTGTTCACACATGCACACTTGTTCACACTGTGCTCACATGTGCGTGTGCGCAAGCACACACACGCACACGCACACAAGGCTCGCATGCTTTTCTCTTCCCAGGGACTCCTGAGTCTTGTCTCCCAGTTCCATCCCTACACCTGCCCAGACCAACCTAGAAGAGGACCTGGGTCCCCTCTGAACATCAGCCCCTCATCCACACCTGATTCTCCTCTTGGGGTCCCAAAGCAGATCCCACACCATGGAGTATGAGGCTGGTTCTTCCAGGGTCACATTGGAAGAACTACTGCCTCCCCAGTTTTCCACCTGCCCCCTACCGCCACCCAGACTCAGAAGTCACTTGGAATCCCAGCCTGCAGAGATCGTCCCCAGCTTCCTCTCTCTGGACTGTGAACTTCAGGGCTACTATGCCCTGTCCTTCTACTGACAAGGTGAGCCCTGGGACACCTCACTGAAAGCCCCACATTCGTGTACCAGTCACGCCCTGCCCAAAGGCTCAGACAGGCTTGGAGACTCTCTCAAGGTTATCCAGGCAGGAACTGGCTCAGTGAGGATTTGAACACAAGTCTGTAAGAAACCAGATGTCCTGGTCAGCTAGCTATGTACCAGGCTGCATTTCGTACTTTGCATACAGTAAGAATGTTTGCAACATTTGAAAGGGGAGCTTGAGGGGCTCACCATGGGAGTTGGCTTAAAATGAGGTGTGGGGGTTCCTGGGGATCCTGAGCACAGAGCTGAGGAACGCCCCTCAAAGCTACACAGTTCTAATGGCTTCTCGGAGAAACCCAAATTCACTCTTACACTAGCCGGGTTCTGGGAGGTCTGGAGCTTGGGGAGGGGGCCACTGGGTTCCCGGTTCTGTTTCTGTATTCTCATCTCGCCTGGTCACTTCGTTGCCATGGTAACACCCTGACTAAAGGAAGGAAAGGAAAGGAAGAAGGGGTTTATTCCATCTCACAGCTCAAGACGTAACCCGGCATGGTGGGAGTCGAGGCAGTGAGAGAGGGAAGGGGTTGGTCCCCTGCCGCCCACAGGCGGGAACAGAGAAGGTGATGCGTTCAGTTTGTTTTCTGCAATCCCATGACAGCCCGGGATCCCCACCCACAGAATGGTGCGCTCCCACGTCAATCTACCTAACCGTCCCCAGACATTCTCAGGGGCTAACCTCAATCCTGACAATCCCTCACAGGTGTGCCCGTAGGCCTACCTCCCGGGGGAGCCTAGATCCTCTCGGAGCTGACGATTACCAACAACCATCACACAGTCTCAGTGTGTGATCTAGACACAGAGCCCATGGGACCAAGTATGACAAAGGCTGGGGTGGGGGGTGACAGGCTCAGGGCCCTCCAGAAACAGCAGTGGAGTCCTAGAATGCCCCTCCCTAGGCAGATGGGGAACCCCTCAAACAGCTTGTCAGGCAGACATAAGGCAACTCTGCAAGGGGGAGGATGGCAATACTGGTGTCTGACCCACGAGGTCAGGGGGTGCCCATAGACTTTCAAACAGTGTTGGGATAACACTTTCCAGGGCCTGTGTGGTGGATGGGGTAACGTCTGTGAAACGTAGGGAGTCCACTGTTAGTATTGCTTTGTCTGCTCCCAGCAGCTGATAGGATAAACACATTTTTAAAAGGACTAGATGAACACATTAAAAATTGCCGTCATAACTAGAGAGTTGGCAAGCAAGCACTCGACTCCACCTCTGTGACTCCATTCTGGCCACCTCGGTCGCTCCATCCTTGACACGCTAGCCACTCTAAGGACTGATAATCAATGGCTGTTTCATCAGACTCCGGGCAGAGTGGAAGAACTCTACCGGGACACCCCACCCTCGACACACAGTGCTCAGCACTCTCCTGGCGATTGTTAGAAAGGGACCTGGGTTGGCTCCCCAGAACCCACAATACAAAGTCAGGCATGGTGGTGTCTTCCTGTAATCCCAGAGCTGGGGAGACAGAGACAGGTGGATCCCTGGGACTTGCTGGACAGCCAGAGTACCCTAAAATCACTGGGCAGCTGGTGTAGCCTGAGCCCCAGGACTCAGGGAGAGAGACCACATCTAAAACAAAACAAACAACAACAGCAAAAAAACCTGATGTGGATTGCTTTTAAGGAATGGCACCCAGAGTTGGCCTCTGATGCTCATGCACACACACACACACACACACACACACACACACACACGTGCACATAGGGACTCAAGGCCTTCCATGTCCAAGGCTCCTTAGTCAGTGGTTGCTTCAGAACCATTGAGGGAGGGATATAGAAGATATTGCTGAACTTGATGCCCCTTCCTCCTGCTCTGGTTACACCGAGGCATTTATGATAGATAAATCTGTTATTGCATTTCATCCTCAGACATGCCTTGTACTTTTCCTGTTTTAGAGGCACCTGTCTGCCCGGTACTATTCCAGGTACTTTTTTTTAGCCTGTGTGTGTGAAGATTCAAGTCATGTCTTCCAGCTCACCGGAGTTTCCCACGTCTTCTTCAACCTAGGCTCTTGTGGAAGGGTAGGGTTCAATATTCTGCTGGCAACTCTATTTTCTATTCTGTGTGTGAGGCCACAGATCAGTGGAGGCCAATTTAACACCTCTATCAGGACCCTCCCTTCGGATAACATTCTAGAATCAGAATAATCCATAGTCCTCCCTGAAATGAACTCTGACCTGGGCCTATTGCAGATCTGTTGTGGTTCTGACTATCACCGCCAGATGGCGCCCCCAACTCACTGCTCCGCAGTTCTTAACTAAACCGTTTCCGAACACTGGGAGAGTGCAGTTTTCTTCCTTTTCTCACCGGAATAAGTTATGCCTTCTACAGAGAGAGCCTAGAGCATAACCTTTTGACCAGGGCAAGAGATGATCTGAAGGTATAAGAACTAGAAAATTAACTATATTGACACCCAAAAATGGGAGTTAGAGTCGGGGTTAAACTGACGGTCCAATGCCATTGTTTGAAAATAAGCCATAGAGTACAGCGTCCCACGTTCCTGTAATGTCAGCACATGGGAGGCTGAGGCCGGAGAACCTCAAGATCGAGAGTAGTGGAAGTTACACAGCAAGACTCAGTCTCAGAAAACCAAGTGTTGGGGGTGTAAGTCAGCAGTGGGGATTACTGAGCACTCAAAAAGCCCTATGTTCAATCCCAGAACCAAAGGGGAGGGGGCAAAGAAAATGTAGGTATACACACTCAACACTAGCAATGACCTCAGACTGAAGACACCAGGACCATGTGTTCGTGTGTGTGTGTGTGTGTGTGTGTGTGAGAGAGAGAGAGAGAGAGAGAGAGAGTGAGTGAGCGTGCGCGCATGTGTGCGTGCTTTGGTATTTTTGTCCAGATAGAGGCCCTGCCCTGCGGGGAGCAGGTACACACAAGCAGTAACATGTCTAAGAGTATTTGTTAGGCATGTTGATGCCCCGAACCTGTCTGTATTCTATTTTTTGTGGCACGTGATCCATATATGTGAACTCTATGCAGGGTCTCACAGGGTCCAAGGAGGAAGTCCTCAGCTGTGAATACTGGCGTGTGCACCCATGCCCTCTGTGGGCTCAAGCGAGGCCAGGTTCCTTTCCTCCCTGTATAGTCTGCTCTAATCACAGAGTCCTTCTAGGCTTTGGTTCTCCCTGTATGATGTCCCTGGAGCTCCGTCCTAGGCTAACCATGCCTTCGGGGAGATTGTTTATTTCCTCAATTAGAACAAGACAGACTCTGGGGGGGCCGCAAGCTGGAAATAGTCACATTTTTTATCACTCTGACACTCAAGAAACCATAAACCCCACGTGGGGTCTCAGCTGCCCTGACTCTTCCCTACCCTGAGGACTAAGGGTTCTCTTCAGTAGGATTCCACCAATCCTGCTTCCCAGGCTGCAAGATCTTCGCTCTGTAGCCAAAGATCCTGAATGTCGTGTGTGTGTGTGTGTGTGTGTGTGTGTGTGTGTGTGTGTGTGTGTG